AAAATAGAAATAAAAAAGAGGAGAGAAGGCCAATGCAACCACTCTTTTTTCTACATGGCGCCTTAGCAAAGACGTGGTGCAAAGGATTTATTTCCTGCCGAAAACGTAAACACTGTGGGACAACAGGACTTGCCAAACAGCAGGAGGATATAAATATTGAGGCGAGGATTAAACAAACCCTTATCAGCGAACTAGTGATTTAGGCCAACCAGTAAGTTAATGAATCGGAAGAGACAGGAAAACATAATTAATTAATCACAAATAAGGGCATGCCCTTGACAGGAAAACAACTACAAACAAATGAAATGATGACGATGATAAGAAAAGAGACGATCACAATATGTAAACTGAAAGCAAAAGGAAAGGATCAAGTCTGTTCAAACAGAAAGAAACCAAGTTATTATTAACAGAAGAGGAGAGAAATGAATGAGAAAGAGACCCAAGAAAATTCGAAAGAAGGTAGACGTATATTTTCCTATACTATTAGCTGAAGTTTGACGAGGAACTTGAAGACACTTATTACGAGTGCAGTGATATTTCCATTGAAACACAGTTAACTTAACTTTTTTTAAAAGAGAGATAGTCTAATGAAGAAAAAAACAAAAGAAAAATACAAAACACCCATCCCTTAAAAAGGACTAGAGAAGAAGAAGAAGAAGAAGAAGAAGAAGAAGAAGAAGAAGAAGAAGAAGAAGAAGAAGAAGAAGAAGAAGACAGTACGCATGGAAACACTTTAAACTATAAGACATGACAACCAGAATAAATTTGGAAAAAGCCCCACGTAAAGTGAGCGCTGCAGATATATATATATATATATATATATATATATATATATATATATATATATATATATATATATATATATATATATATATATATATATATATATATATATAAGTTTATTTTAAAAATCAGCACAAACTTACTTCAGGGCAATGTTCACTTACCAAACTTAAATTGTGGGAATAAGGAAATTAAACGCAACCAACATAAAATTGTCTGAAAGGATGTGATTACTGAACTTCAAACCAAAGACCTCAAAACCTGTTTACGTAGAAAATATTCTAAAGAACCTCCACAAAACTACCAATTCTTCATAATCATGCAAGAACGCCTTCAGACGTTCCAAACGTTTGGACGGGGGTATCTCTATAGTTCCAACTTGCTATAGATGCTGAGTTGCTCAGAAATAATTGTTTCCTTATTTTACTGCATGTTACATCCTCAAATAATATCCACCCTCTTTGTTTCTATGACAAATTATAGACAATGTGATGAATATTTTATGAGGCATTGTACAATGAATTAATTTATCTTCTTTGTTATCAGTTTTCCTGGTTTTAAGGTCAATACTGGCATTTGTTGATTATGAACAGGGTCTAATTAATTCCATGTACAGAACGTGTTCGATTAAATGTGACGCATGTAGAATCGGTGCCTCATAGGAATCGTGAAAATCGGAACTCAACGAAAAATGTTGAATTCACAATGTACCGTAAAAATAAAATTCAAACATATTCACCTTGACAATGATCGCGGCTTTGATTTTGTGCTTAATTCAAAACAGTTTGAAAGAAATAAAATGCAAAAGCTAACCAATGTTTTAGTTCTAACATAATAGTAACATGTGTGTGTGTGTCTGTTGGTAAAATTCGTTAAAAACGTGTTATTGTAACGCTAAAGATAAGGAGAAGCTAAATTCCTGGAAATGTTTTGAAACGTAATGTCGTCGGCTGCCTTGGTTTGCTTATTTTCTCAACCAGAACAATTTATGTGAAGGTTTCTCTTAATTTGAACATTGCTGCAACACAAAATTAATTTATTCTGTACTTAAACGTTGATGCAGAAAAAATAGTAGAAGATTTGTCTCGAGTCTATTGTTTATTAACATAAGAGGCTGGAAATACGTTGTATGCCTGAGAAGGTCATCCCGCTTGCGCAAATTTAAGCGGACCTCAGCCTTTACAACGTAAAGATTTTGTAAAGTGAAACAAAGTAGTGGTGCATCATAGAAACAAAAATAGATGAGTTGATACTGAAATACCTCAAAACATGTGCGTCTAGGATTCATTCATTCAGAAGATGGTTATTATCAGTGATATTTTGCTCCTGAAATTGTAAGTTTCTGGAGTAGAATTAGATTGATTTGTTCGTTTTTCCTCGCGTTATGTTATAATCTTCTGAACCTCATCCATCTTTTGGAAAGACAAAGCTTACATTTATCTCGACGAGCGATTTCAAACATGTCTCCCCATCTCATTTTTAACCTTTTTCGTGTTTACTGTAGACATTGGAACGCGAACTTTTGTTTAATTAACGCACAAATATTCTTATGTATTCTCACTGTCCATTATATTTAGGAACTGCCTTAGAAAATACAGGGTCCTATTTGGATCATTTTGACGGCCTCCCCCCCCCCTGGAAATAAAGCACGGAACCCCCTGTTAGCACGGCTTCTGGAAATTAACATTTAAAGTTTTCTGATAATGAACTTAAATTTTTTCTTTCATCGCATTAAAATTACTTTCTCCCTATAGATATATCTTTAAAAATTACTAACGCGCGGGGCTCCTATTACCTCTTAGCCAGATTGAGCCAAAATCGGCATAATCAGCCGAAGGCCGGCCATGATTATACACTTATAACTATAAATTATAGATCCTGTGTATTTGCATGACTGATTGTATTTAAGTTATTACATTTTAAAATTGTGATCCTTGTGAAATCACAACAATCAGAAAAAAATATAGCAAGGTTTACACAAAAGGAAGTATTTAGCTGTCATGGACAAAAGGGATGTTAAATTCTGTTAAAAAATAATTTGTACAGAATCCTCAGCATGGAGAAAGCGCTGTCTACTGCAGAACTGGTACCGTATGTACTCGCATATCAGTCCAGTATAACTGTCTACCGCAGAACTGGTACCGTATGTACTCGTATACCAGTCCAGTATAACTGCAAGAAACACAAATCCACAGATGCTTTTGCATTATGTACTCGCAGATGAGGTTTATTTTTTTGTTTGTATTACTTATCATTCTTAATAAACAATTAAAAATAAAAAAATTCTGCCGTCGCCTTATGCCAAGGTAGATATGGATCTTTACAGTCAGTGGTTGGATCTGGCCTTTACGTGAGTAAATAAGGTAAATATTAATTTTTCAGTTATCTTTTCTGCTAAGAGTACAGTTACAGCCTTCTTTTGTACAGTCACAAACTAAAGTAATCGTATTTTTTGTAGTACAGTTACATCCAATGATTTTACGGCTAAAATTAATGGCAACCTTACGTACAGTTTAACCCTAAGGTAACCGTACCCAGGTTTGTGTACAGTTAAAACCTATGATAACTTATGATAACCGTACACACACATGTTTACAGTAAAATCCAATGGTAACAGTACCATTCCTTATGTACAGTTTAAACCTAATGTACCTGTACCCAGTTAAAACCTAAGATAACCGTACTCATGTATGTTTACAATTAAAACTAATGTAATCGTGCACATGATTGTGTACTGATTTAACCCACAGTAAGCGCGCCAATTCTTGCGCGTGAGCGCTTTAAAGACCTGATAATCTGATATTTTAGAGCAGACTTTCCTTTCGAAACAAGCAGCTAATAACTATTTGGAATATTATTCCCTCTTTTCTTCAATTATTTAAGTCATTTTTTTTTCAATTATTTCCAAATCATTTGCTGATTATTCAGAAATAAATGTAAAACGAAGATTTTGGGAGTAAAAAATCAATTAATGAAATACTTGCAGATTGTAACCATATTATACAGACTTAACATCTTATTTGTAGCTTTTTTCTATGAAATTGCGTACAGATGTATAATTAGTCCAGTGTATTGGAAACAAATTTCTTTCAACAGAGAAATAGACGATAATTTGGGCCGTGATTTCGACATTTGTATGGCTTAATATTCTGACTGGGAATCAGGACTTATCGACAACAAGCCTTACAAGGAACAAGCAGCAGATTAACACAGTAATTATAGGTTCAGAATGTCGTTTTTAATGGAATCTTGTTGTCGAAATTGAATTTGTAAAGTAAACAGTTGCTCTACTATTATCGCAACTGATGTGCTTGTGCCAAGAATATCAAACCATACCATCATTCGGAGGCATTTCATACTCTTCCCTTTGTACTGTTATTGATGCTGCCTGGAGCTGGAGATGATAATACAATGATGAAATAAAAATGGAGACAGAATAATGTTCCTCATCATCTTACTACCGTGAAGTTTGAAAGTTTGAATTATTCTAAAACATAAATGTGGCTACCTTATGGCAGTGACGTTTTCTTCAGTGTAGCATTTTATATTTTATATTCTTTCTCTGCTAAAATTTCGCCACATGATCGTTACAAGATTGTATTTCTACATAGTATTCGCATGTGTTCATTACTGACTATTCGTGCCATTTTGTTTTGAGTGGCTGAGAACGTATTTTTCGTGCTCTTTATCACAGTAACGCTACCAGCCAATTCAAGTTTTATTTTGAGAGCATATTCTTTATTCAGAACGAGGCAGAGAGCAAATTTCCTCACCTGAGATAGGCACGATAATTTTTACCACAGAGCATATAATATTTTGTTATTTCTCTCCTACTTCCGTGTAAGAAATGATTTTCTGCATACTGATAGTGACGAATATAAAACGTTCTATATATGGAAACTCTCGATGATTGTGATCAACATTCAAACTGTAGATCATACGTATGCACATATCATGTTCAGTGTGTGTGTGTATGTGTGTGTGTGTGTGTGTTTAACGTAGCTTTAACAATTTTTCAGTCATATCGCTACGATGTCTGCAGTGTGGCAGTTTATAGTGATGTCTAGCACTGTGGAATATTATGCAGCACACATGCAGCATGATGTCCACACACACACACACACACACACACACACACACACGCACACGCCGACCATGCCTAATGCAAACCTCTTAATGCTGAGCGTCAAGAGAGGCAGCTGAAAGTATCATTTTTATGTCTTTGGTATGGCTCGAACACGCGACCTCCCGCATCTGAGACGGACGCTCAAACCACTAGGTCACAGAATCTGTAACAGCAATATCCTGTTAAAACTCTAAACTTAATTAAACAAAGATTTGTACATGTACTCTGTATTGTGTTTGTCTGTGATTCAGATAATGGTCACATGCTCACAAAACCTTTGTTTACAAAGTATTTGGGTTTAATGCCATTTCCTATTTAAAATCATACTGGAGTTTTCCGTTGGACTACTTCACAGCGTCGGATTTCTTCACATCCTATTTACGATTTATGTCAAGTTAAAACGTGTATAAATAGGGGTTTGATAAAATAAGTAACTCATTCCCGTTGTTAGATCCGTGTCAGAGCTTACATATATGTTGATGAAATCATATAATTCGGGAAGAATTATTTATTTTAAATATTCATTGGAATTACTAAAGTGATCATAAACTTTTGGACTAATACTTTACTTTTGATTTTTGCGAACTCGCTCAAAGATATTGTTGATTGTATCATTATCTTTATGTTATATTAGGACATTCAAAACTATTGAAATTTAATATGAGCATCCTATATTTTTGGGCGTTGTTAGGATATTTAGAATTGTTTGGAATTAAATACACAATACTATAAGTATCTTTAGAATTTTTATTTCGTTTCGTACGAACAAAATTGCTTGTTGGTTTCACTTAAATTGATGGTTTCACTTTCCTTCTGTTGGTATGTTCATACAGAAAAACAACTTGATAGATATAACAGATTTATTTTTATAAACCCTGTTTTTTCTTCTGAGATTTTTGTATAAAGTAAACATTTTCGATCAACACTGTTCGAAACAGATTTTTAAAACATTTTTAGGAAGATCTGTTAACATAGATTGTAGCAAAACAAATTAGCAAAATGTAAGAATTTACGTGTTTTATATCTAAAATGTTATCCTGCTGCTAGTCGAACGTGACCATTTGATTGGTTGAGCAATGTACGTACACATTGTAGAAGCAAAGCAAGATTTCCACACAGTTGTTGTTGTTCTTGATTTTGTTATAGGGTTTTTGTTCCTAACTCAGCACCGTTGAGCTAACATAGAGCATGTGCTTAGCAATACTTCATTTGAATATAAACTGAAGAAAAAAAATGAAATATGCAGTCAAAATAAATTAGCTCCTTGAAATAAAGTTATCCATGCTCCATGCTGAATATTTATTTCAACCCAAAAATATGAGATCAGACTGACATTGGAATGCTGCTGCATTAGCTTGCCTTTTGCAAATATATAATCGTACGGAATTGTAAAAAATAGCTTGACGTGACAGGCCACCACAGGGAAAGGATGAGTATATTAGTCTTCATTTCTTGACACCTTTGACAAACGAGCTGTGATCTTTCATCTCCGAGCTACTTTATTAGGTCACCATTGCACCATCATCTGTCTGCGTGAGCGATCCCAGGTGGGATGTTTATCTTCCGCCGTAAACGAAGTTGGCATACACAATTTTACTGGATACGGTGCCGTTAAAGTATTTCATATTCTGATGCAAATCGATATCAAGTCCCGTTATAAATCCTGTAAATTCATATCATGAACCAACTGTGTGCGCAGAACACTATTGTGTGTGTGTGTGTGTGTGTGTGTGTGTGTGTGTGTGTGTGTGTCAGAGAGAGAAAGGGAAGATAAAAAAAAGAAAAATTTGGATTTTAAAATCTAGATTTAAGAATTTACCAGCCATATCGCTACGACGTATGCAGTGTGGCAGCTTAGAGTGAGGTCCAGCACTGGGCATCATGCTGCAGACATGTAGCTTTATGTCACATCCAGTCACGTTATCCTGACACCAGGCCAACCAATCAAAACATTAACCTCCTAATGCTGAGCGCCAAGCGAGGCAGCTGCTAGTACAATTTTTGGGGTAAGTTTTAAATATGACTCAGGCGGGGTTGGAACCCGCAACACCTCGTATCAGGGGCGGACGCGCAAGCCTCTAAAAGAAGCAAGAGCGGTCCAACACTCTTGAAATTAAATTCGAGTTGCATTTGTTTTATTATTTTGTTGTTTACGTTTTGTAACATAAATTCTATCCGGCCTATTTAGCTTAGACATGTTGCAAAAACTGATCAACGACGGTTCTATCAGCTTTCATCAGTAACATTCGCGACTGAGTATGGTATCGACTGAATATGGTTGAAGGCTTCTTTAATGGATACGCCGAAGAAAATCAAGGTCATTTCAACTCTGCAAACAATGAATGCCAGAAACATTCAAATATCCACGCGCAGTCAGGTAATTGACATCTTGCATAAACTACGGAGGTATAATAACGAATAGGTGTTAATAGGTTCACCGATTATGTTCCGCCATATATTTACATATTTATGTACATGGAATACTAGATTTTCGTTTTTAAACTTACGTAGTATTCCACTAGCAATTTTGGGTGTAACTTTATAATGGAAAACATTAAGTAAGGCATCACTATTTAGAATTTGGTCACGTCTAAATGAAATTTTGTTTATCTCTGCTTGACCATTGTTGCGCTTGATCAAAAACCAGTATACAGCCGAAGACAACATGATTCATGGGTTGTTTGCAAGTTGATTAGTGAACAGTGCAAGTGCGTTACTGACACGTTACGTATCTTGTTAGGTAAACTGTCTTGTGCGCTGCGATTTTATGGCGGTATCTGAAACTGAATATTTGCATCATTTGGAGTTCATTATAAGCATAGTTACCATTTTAGAAGCATTCTAAAAAGGTAATTTTCCATGGAAAGCTAGATGTAGCTTTTATCCACATATATTTCATCGAAATTAGAGGAGCAGACATGAGAAGACCCATCCTGATAAATGAAAAGTATGGTTGCTCGTAGTCTACGCTTATAATCTAACTAAATATGAGGTTCAAGACTTGACTAGCATTTAAGGTCTGTAAGGATACAGATTTTATTGATTTATTAGAGGACTAGACTCCATAAGGTTAAGTAAGATCGTTTTAATTAAACTAGTATTAACCCTCAGCAAATATTTGTGACAAATCCTGTTGGGGTTAAGGGCTGATAAGTCATTACAGGGAGATAAACAACAAAATAAAGTCTAGTTCATAGATTAAAACATTTTGGCATTACCGTATTAAGATTATACTAGCAGAATCTGTCAGACGATGACTTTAATTTGCGTCGGAACGAACAATATATTTGCATCAAGGAATTAGTCAAGGTTTCGATTGAGTTTCAGATGAGGAGGTGTTATATTGAGAATCAAAGGGCTTTAGTAGCTGCAGCCAATATGAAGGAAAATAAAGAGTGATATCAGTATTAAATCCGCACTGTTATAAGCTTTATAATAAAAAGGAAGGTTATTTTCCATACTGTCGATAGCTTTGTAACTGACTGTATGAGGACATTTATTACAATTCATATAATTCCTGGCCTGCTCGGATATCATTGATTGCAGGTGTAACATTAGTAACATTGAATATAATTTAAGTTCTATTCGAGTTGATTTTATTGAATGTTTAATGTTTACTACAATTCATATAATTCTCGATCTTTTTGGGTAATAGTAACTGCATGTGTAACATTTACTACATTTCATATAATTCTAGAGCTATTCGGGTAATAGTAATTGCATGTGTAACATTTACTACATTTCATATAATTCTAGAGCTATTCGGGTAACAGTAATTGAATGCGTAATATTTACTACATTTCATATAATTATAGAGCTTTTCGGGTAATAGTAATTGCATGCGTAACATTTACTACATTTCATATAATTCTAGAGCTATTCGGGCAACAATAATTGCATGTGTAACATTTACTACATTTTATATAATTCTAGAGCTGTTCTGGTAAAAGTGATTGCACGAACAACATTAACTGTAATATATATAATTTCATGTCTATTCGGGTGGCAGTGACTACACGTTTAATATTTACCGCAATTCATATAATTCTGGACCTCGTCGTGTAGTATTGATTGCACATATAGCATATATTACAATTAAGATAATTTAATGTCTATTCAGGTAGCATTGACTGCATGTGTAATATTTATCACAATTCATATAATTCTGGACCTAGTCGGGTAGTATTGATTGCACATATAACATCCATTACAATTCAGATAATTTAATGTCTATTCAGGTAGCATTGATTTCACGTGTAACATTTACCACAACTCATATAATCACAATTCATATAATTAGGATAGCATTGATTACACGTGTAACATCTACAACTATTAAAGTTAGTCCAGGTAGCACTGATTGCACGAGCAACATTTACAACAGTTCATATAGGGCTATATATATTCTGGTAGCATTGATTGCACGTGTAACGTTTACAAAGTTTCATATAATTGTAGATCTATTCAGGTAGCAGTGATTGCACTTGTAACATTTACGGCAATTTATGTTATTCCCGGTGGCAGTGATTGCACGTTTAACATTTACCACAGATCATATAATTCTAGATCTGTTCAAGCAGCAGTGATTGCACGTGTAATATTTACAACGATTCCTATAATTGTAGACCTATTCAGGTAACAGCGATTGCACGTGAAACATTTTAAACGATTTGTCATTCCAGGTTGGAGTGATTTTACCTATAATATCTTTTACGATTTATGTTATTCCAGGCAGCAGTGATTGCACGTGTAACATCTACAATGATCTATCTAGCAGTGATTGCACGTGTAACATCTACAATGATCTATCTAGCAGTGATTGCACGTGTAACATCCACAATGATTTATTTTATTCCGTGTAGCAGTGATTGCAAGTGAAACAGCTACAATGTTTTATGCTATTCCAGGCAGCAGCGATTGCACGTGTAACATCTACAATGATCTATCTAGCAGTGATTGCACGTGTAACATCTACAATGATTTATTTTATTCCGTGTAGCAGTGATTGCAAGTGAAACATCTACAATGTTTTATGTTATTCCAGGTAGCAGTGATTGCACGTGTAACATCTACAATGATTTATATTATTCCAGGTATCATTGATATGATTCTTGAACGGACCACCACGGCCTTATTTTAATTTCAAAATTCAACAACCCCGTCG